CCATTTGTTGGCTATCCCTATATCCAGTGAGGACCTCAACCAATTCTGGCCATCTGTTCATGTTGATCAATTCTGTCAATGCACCACGTATTTGTTAATAGTTCTTCTATGATCTTCGTCGAGATTATTATACTATATTGTGAGTTGAGGTAGTGTTGTTATGACCATGTCAAACTTTGAGAAACTATCCATATTTACAAAACAAAAACTAGTTAACTTTACCCACCCCAAATTGGAATTCACACGTACATAATTCAAATGTCAGATAAAATGATGTGTCATTAGGTCGGAGAATTGAGACACGATTTTGGCAATTTTCTACTAAATGGACTTAATAAACCTTGGGTATTAAGCCGTCTTAGGCTAATGCTTAATTTTTTGTTTTGTTTTCTCTCTAGCTTAGGCTTATAGAATAGGTTTCAAGTTGACGGTTACTGAGTCAGACAAACATCGGGATGAAGCTATCAAACAACGTCGGATGACCGCATTCCAACTATTTGTTTAATACTTCCATATGAATTTTGTGTATTGCTTAAAAAAGCGTGAAAAGCCACGTAACTTCCATTTCCTAATGCAAACTACTTGCCGTTTGAAGGAAATATGCCATGAAAATGCAATAATTATAATAATAAAGTTAATGAATAAGTAATTATAGTCAAATAATGTTAGTTTTAAGGTTTGAATCCTCCAATTCCCCAGTAGAGTCGTCATTTCTATTTTAATCGACAAAGGAAAAATATTTATGTTATAAGAGGTTTTGTCTTTTTTAGAGTCGCCACTTAATTTTGAAAAAATCAAGAAAACTTTTTGATTTCAAAATGCTTGAAACAAAAAAAAATCTAATGAAAACATTAAAGGGATTCGGGGATTCTCATTTATATTTTGGGAAGGTGTTAGACACCTAAAATATCCGCCTAATTGCGGTTTTCCGACAACTAACTTAGTTTGACTAAAATTTGTTTAAAATATATTGAAAATTGGTTGAAAGTGAACTTCTTAATTTATCTAAGCGAAACTTATAAATTAAAAAATTATTTTTTTAAAATTATTTTAACTTTGTTCAATTTTAAGTTACTAAAACATTCGACATTCCACTGGGATTGGAAGTTTCTTAACTTAAATCTAACTAACAAATAAAGCAAGTAAATAAACAAGAAACAAGGGAGAGGGAAAGAGAATTGGGTCCAAATCCGAGTTTTCTGTCTGCCTTGACCGGCATTTTGGACCCACCTATTTTGGGTTTTTGACCCACTAAACTTTTTGGGCCTTCGACCCATTATTTTTACCTTTCCTAGACTAAACATAATATAATACTAATAAATAAATAAATAAAATAAAACACAACAAGGCCTAGGCCAAAAAATAACGAAATAAAAAATACGAAAATAATAAGAAAAAATCTTCTAATCCGGTTTCTTCGACTTTCTTCAATTCTTCAAACATTGAAACCTGTCCGCCGATTTTGGTTTGACTCGATCAAAGGGAGATTGAGTTTTAATGACTCTCTTGAGGTGCATTGGATGTGGAGTCAAAATTGGACTCGAACAGTTTTCACATGCAAATAAAGGAAAATAAAATAAGTAACAAGTCATGACTTAAAATTAGAAAAAGAGATGAAGAAATACATATGCTACCATACTTCAATTTTCTACACTATGCATATGTAAGGCAAGCAATAGTAAAATTAATAATTCATCTCAAAGATTTCCAACTGAATAAGTCAATGATGATCAATGATAGGAAAAATCATGATTTAAAACTAATTATGAGCAACAAATGAATTAAAACCTTTTTTTTCTCTCTTAGAGTTGGTACTACCAAGTTTTAGGTAAAGGAGACTAAGAGAAAACAAGCATTAATTTGACAAAATGACAAAAGAAGATGGATGGACTAGTATTTCCCTCTTTTTAATTATAGTAACTCCCATGTAATACAAGATAATATACGAAAATAAAATTATAGATAGACAATTAATTAGCAATGAATGAAATAAATCACGGATTTGTATCAAAATAGTGAGAATATATGCTATTAAGCTTAAGAAAAGTATCATATAAACCAACAAAGGCAACAATGAGCCCGATGCACTGATTGAATAATTTTGAGTAATTTGTCATGTTCAGAATAGTAGGAATGAGAAAAATTGACGTCACCTAAAGCCTTGGTCATAAAGGGTTAATATCTAACTCATGCAAAATCTTAAAAAAACATAACTGACCTTAAAATTTAGTCACTAATCATTAAAGTTCAAAGCATCTGAATCATATTGGGAGGAAAAATACATTAGACACATATTATAAAACTAACTCATTTTAAAGAACTATAGACAACGTGAAAAGATATATTAAATGAGTCCAACACGTAGAGGAAACAAGGATTAATGCGTATTTATAATGAAAAAACTTAGAAATAAAATTTGATCATTAAAGAAAACTGTGGTAGCAGCATAACCTAACAATAGCCTATCAACCATGCTAAATAAACTAGACAACTTCCATCATTAGAATGCTATTCTAAAGCAGGCAAAAAAGCAGAGAGGACACGTCCAAAAGTGAAGGGAACATGACAAAAGAATATTACCTTTCGAGGTGCAACAAACTAGACAACGAGAAAGGGAGACTTTACCACCACTGCTAAATGCGACTCCAAGGACCTCAAGCGAACGGAATAGAGAAAAAAAAAGCAAAATTCAAAACAAAATTAACTCAAGAGATTCGTTCGGGACTTCTTTCAAGATTTGTGACTCACAATTCCCTCTCCCAAAATCTTCCTGCTTCCCTTTTTGTTTTTTTTAAGAAAAGTTTCAAATAAAAAATTTACTCTCCTCAAATAGGAGCTTTGTTTTGTTGTGAAACAAATTTCAAAACAAAATTTTCGAACCCCAAAAGAAAAACTTCTCTCCAAAAAAAATTCTCGTCTTATGAAAGAGAAAACGAACCTATACAGAGGGAAAATTAGGGTTTCAAAATTCTTGTAAAATTCCTAAACAACCCTCCAATTCATTCAAATTTCCAAACCAAAACCTAGCCTCAAATTGGAATCAACCCCTTTTCTAAAAAATCTCAATAGATTCCCAAAAGGGAAGGGGGAATAGACAGTTAGATGAATCCCATTGTCCTTGAGCTTTGACATGGCACCATCACGAGTAAAGAGGACGAAGCGCATGCTGTCCTTGCTGCTAAAACTCGTACCAGAGAAGAACCAGATGTTTGGAGAGGGGGCAAGGCGACCAGAAACCGCAAATGGATCGGTTCATGCGTCCAAGGAGTGACCTTCTGACGCACTCGCTGCTATTGTGAAGCGCGTCGTCTCGATATGCTGCTGCGAGTAGGGGATTTCGACGTTTCTCTGCTTTTTTCCGTAAAAAAAATGTGTTACAGGGGTCGCCTTGTTATGCTGCCTGCATTTCTTTCTTTGGGAAAAAGGTAAGAGAAGCGGGTCGGGTCAGAAAATGTATAGCTGAGGAAAATTAAAGGGATTAGGCTGTGGAATTGGGCTTTCTTCCGATGGGTTGAGGCTGTAAAAATAAATAGAGGAAAATGGGTTGGGTTAAATTTGGTTTCCAGAATTAAATAATGGGCTGAGTGCTTTGAAGGAAATATGTATTGGGTCGGAATGTCGGGTAAAATGGGTTGTCAACAAATCTGAAAAGTTAATGGGTTGACTGAAAAAGGTTGATTGGAGGAGGATAAAAATTAAAAAGTTGGGCCTAGGAGTTGAGGAAATTGATAAAGGTTGGCTGGAAATTGGTTATTAATTGTGCCCAAATTGGTCTTTAGATTACCAATTCAATCAAATTAAATTGTAATTATTCAATTTGATTAAAATTTAGAATAAGGCAAATTCATATAATTAATTAACAAGCTTCTTAATATTAACAAAATAAACATAATTAATTTGATTACGAAATAGTTAACTAAAATTAAAAAAAAACATCGTTTAGCTAAATAGTTAACCAAATATTTATATAAAGCAAAGTATATATATTTTTTCAATTTTGAATATGAATAAAAAATTTAAATAATTATACTACTAATTATGTAAGACATATACACTAGCTAAAACAATATAGAAACATCAAACTATTATTTAAAAATAATTTGCAAGCTAAAAGTTATTTAATATTAACTTATTTTTTTTTTATATATATATATATATATATATATATATATATATATATATATATATCAAATACAAAAATTAATTATTTTAAATTGTTTTAACTCGAGAAGCTCGCTAGTTAATTATGTTGGAGAGGTCAAAATTTGGGTGTCAACACTTAGAAAAATAAAAAAAAATATTCATACTTTCGTAATTCAAAAAATCATTTTTTGAAATAAGATGTGTCATTCCGTTTATCCCATCCCGTTCCATTTCGGTCTGTTCCGGTTCCATCCCGATATATAGTGAGACGGGATGGAACCGAGTATCCATCTTGCCAATTTTGATCTGATTCATCTCAGTACCGATCAACTCGTCCCGTTTCGCTGATCCTGTTCCGATCTGTTGCTTGTCTTGGATGGTATTATAATAGTGACGTGATGAAGACTACTCTTGAGAATTGACAACGATGCGGCTACGTCATCGAGAAATTCATGTGATGGAAACACTTTTTTTTTTTGCAATTGAGAGTACTAAAAAATGAGATATTTACAACAGTTTAAAATTATTTAATGGGGTTACTAGGACCTCCAAAAAATTGAAGTGTCTTTTAAAAAATAGATCTTACGAATAATTATGCATTTTTTCAAATAAAATGATAAATCCATCATATCATATTTTTTTGATAGCTGTGTTAGTTAAAAGATAAATCATTAGTTAGAGAAACAAGGAATATTGGACATTTCAAAGTAGTATACAATAGAAGAGTCTACAAGACTACAAGCACACTTTGTGCTATCTAGATTAATCTAAATGTTACTTTGATCATTGAAATATTTAAACTTTAATAATTTAATATATTTAAAAATTAGATAAAAAGGTATTATAATGTTGGCATTTTCATGATTTATAGCGTCATTTATATATGTTGATCATTATTTTGTAGGGCTAGACAAAGTTGACAAATAAAAGTGAATAAAAGTAGAAAAAGGTTTTTAATAATAAGCTCCAAGTAAGAAGCTTTATTCTTCTTTAACAGCTCCAAGTAAGTCATCCAATGTTACCAACAAAACTGAAAGAAAAATGATAAAAATGAAGACTGAAGGGGCAAAAAACATGGTCAGCTTGAAGATCCATCCAACAAACAAAGATCCCATATTAACTTCAAGTTGTTTTCCATCATTTCAAACATCAGATCTTCGTCCATTGTTTGCTTCTGCATGCATTTTTTGTATGAGAATGAAAATCAAATCAATTATTTCAACAATGAAGAACAGATCAAAGGACAGTGCCGTCTCAACAAGTTTGGTACAGGATATATACAATATAATAGTCTAAGCTTATGATGCTAAGGACACTACAATATGGTTTGGAGTAAAATCATACCATCCATCATGTATATCATGCAGTGACATATAAAATTATAACTCAAAAAGAAATTTTGTTGCAAGTACGGAAAGAAAACATACTCGTAACTCTGATATAATTCCAGGCATTTTCAGGAAAATCTCCTGTGTAACGCACTAGTTGAAGAATATCTGAAATCAAATGGATCTGCATGCTGAAGCTTTAATCTAATTGATGAACTTCTATATGATTTTGCAGTTGTGTGACCGATAACAAAAACAACATATCGACCACCTGAAGAATCCTTGTCATTGGGCCATCTCAAGCCGCCCTGAACTTCTGAATCAAAAATGGAAGAACCAATAACATATTTAATTTCATTTATCTCCTCATCCTGTGAAAATGCAAAAAATTACACTTCTAAGTCACAGCAATCGAATGAGAAATATCCTTGGCTACAAAGAAAGCATTAGTGGTTTTCTTCGGTTTAAATAAAATAAATTCATTTTAGAGGGAAACATAGAAAAGTTCATTGAATATAACTTACAGATAAAATCATGTTTATTTTCTTGGTATATAGTACCAACCTCAGATCTGAACTCTTTCCAAGACAGCTCATATCTGCTACCACGTGACGTAATTTGTTCAACTCAATCTTAATAAAAAGGAATTCATGTCAAAGGAAGTCGTTTTGTTGAGGAATGATGGTGATAATTGCTGTTGCTTTTTCAGCCATATAAATAAGTTGTTAATTAGATATTTTACAACCTACTTATAATGAAGTAGTAACTAACCTTATAGAGCTCAATCTTATTATAATCTTTGGCGACAGTACATTTGCAAAAACAGTTGAATTAGGTTGCAACATATCAGAAAGCTACAAAAACAAAAAGATATATATAGAGAGATAATGGAAACAACACAGTAGGAGGAAGACATTAAACTTGAAAATCAGATCTGTATGTGTTGGGTTTTATTTGCCCTGATTTCTTACCATAAATAGGTTTTCTTTTTAGGAAAAGATTTTGGATTGACTAATCCTTTTTCTGATAGGAAAAGGTTTAGGACTCTATAAATAGAGGCATGTTCCTTCTAACTTAATCACCATTCATAATGTAGTCTTAAAGACTTTGAAAGTTTTTTGTTAGAGAGAGAAATTGTGAGTCACAAGCTTGATACGTTATCCCTTGTGTGAACCTCTCATGTATTCTGAGTGAATTGGTAGAGGTTGTTTCCCTCTTTATTTTGTTCGCTCATATTTATAGTGGATTATTCATCTCCTTTATGGACGTAGGTCGATTGACCGGACCACGTTAAATGTTTGTGTCTTTTGGTATATTTCTCGTTGTCTTCTTAATCGTGGTCTTTTGAGGTTTGCTTTGCTAGCTTCCGCATTTACACCTGCTTATTTTCGATCCTAACAGTATGTAGTACAATTCTTTCCCTTTCACATATTCTAGCCCAAGTTTCTCAACAACTCGGTGTTCTATGTAATTCATAAGTAGGAGAATTTGCATCAAAAATCCGTTTCATTTTTCCCACAGTTACTTCACTCAATGGAGTAGTTTCCAGGGATTCTTCACAAATTGAGGAATTCCTGCACGCATGCAGTTTGATTCAAAGGGTACAAACAAATATTGAATTCAAAATGACACATTGCTGTTATAAATTCCTAGTGATTAGAAGAAGACTTACCTATAAAAGATAATTTGCTCGAAACGAGCAACTACAGACAGCTTTACTTGTGGCATATCAGCTTCCTCCATCTCAAGCTTTATCTGTTGAAATGATAAAAATAAATCCTCTTTCACACTTGCAGCAACCAAAAGCCATGGTGTATCGATAAACCCGTTCCTTATTCCTTTACTGCAACCTAGAAAAGCATAAATATTGAAGGAAAACTTAAATAATTAACATGATTAGAAGCATAAATCTAATGTGAATTTATGAATCTAATCTGTATATTCAACTATTAACATCACTGTCTGTCGCTCACAATTCAATTAAATTCAATATAGGGTCGTGCACAAATCGAATATGCAGACAATTAGAAGTTGATCAAATTACAGATACATATCTAAAACTACCGATACCTTCCATTAGAACCAACAATAGAGCTTCTTTGTCTGAATTTTGATCGAAGCAGTATGCAGAAAACGGTTAGAGGCTGACAAGAGACGAAATTCGAGAATAATAAGCTAAGCCAACGGAGAACCATTTCAAAACAGCAGATTTTCTGTAAACAATGGTCTTTCCTCTTAAATTTTTCTGCTCCCCAAACGACTTCAGATTAAGGCTCTTTCTGAAGTTATTAGGAGTTAGAAAATTTGGTGCCGGAGTTGGATTCAACAACGGAGATCCCTTTGTTGCCTGTTGTGTGGCGGAATGTAAGACATTATATTTGATCAGTTGCTCAAAATAGAGTTGCTCTGTTTTCTCAACATTTTGGCGCTATAAATAATAGTCATGTTAAATTGCTTGCTGGAATACTTGAACAGACACATTATTATTATATTAATGAGCATTATGACAACCTTTGAGCTTCTACTAATTACACTTCATTCAATTAGGACTACTAAATTTAATTTCATTGTAAAAGCTAAAAAGTTTATTTAACATCCAACATGATAGTGTATCAAATATGCTTCTATTGGACAGTTCAAATGATTTACGATATTGCTGCATCGAATTGTAACATGTGTTGGGTACTTCGATCCTAACAATATAATCTCGACATCTGAATCTGATCCCGACTCAAGTCCCGACCTAAAAGAAAATTAGAACATATTTTATGGACATAGCTAACATTCCTAATTGTTTACTACCCATAAAACTTGCCTCTTGTAATTTTCTCGAGATTTTTTAAGACCTTCACTTGGAAGCAAACGTGAAGCATTAAAACAAAATTTGAACTTTACCTTTTAAAACCTTAGTCTAAATACTCGACGGACTTCACGTTATCAACTCCTTCTTTACACTTCAGCAAATTAAATCTGTGTATTATATACGACCCTGCAAGTTGATGGATTTGTCCCATTCAAATCATCATTATTTATATTCCAAAATTTATGTCAAGTGAACAGAGCAGAGTCTACGCAACAGAGCTCAAGAAAGCAGGGTAGAAAAACTAAGAATTTCAATAAAAATATCAAGATAAATTTTGAAATCGATACACACTTCCGCAAACTCTTAGATTGTTACTCCGTTTGCTTGTTAAACACCCTTTTTAATTTAATGTGTCGAAATTGGTTGATAAGCAAATCTTAATTTGATATTTGAAATTTATTCACCCTTGTTACCATATATCTACGATGAATTAGGACACAATTTGATTTCGTAATTGAATTCTTTGCTATACCACCCAGTTGGTTCCGAAGGGAAAATGAACACATGTTCTAGTTCAAAATAGCCCCAAAGCATGTAAACTCATATTTTATCGATTTTCGTGTGCTACAGTTCATAGATTTTTTGTGATCGAGAATTCCGAATTGTTTTTTGTAAAAAGTTTCAATGCACGACAGTTAAGACCTTATTAATGGAGCCAGTGGGTCCTGAGGGGCAAACATGCGCATTTTGAAGTTCATAATAGCCCCAAAGCACGTAAACCTAGATTTTGTTGATTTTCGTGTGCTATAGTCCATGTGTTTTTTTGTGATCCAGAATTTTGTATTGTATTTTGTCAAAAATTTTCAAGGTCGTATGTTAATACCTTAGTAATGGTGTCAATTGGTCCCGAGGGGCAAATAGACGCATTTTCAAGTTTAAAATAGTCCCAAAGCAGATAAACTATAGTCCGTGAATTTTTGGTGATTCGAAATTCCAGCTTGCTTTGGCCGATATTTTTCATGTACACCTGTTAATATCTTAATAATGGAGCCAGTAGATCTCGAGGGGCAAAAAGATGAATTTTATTTTCAAAATATCCCAAAGCAGGTAAACCCATATTTTGCCAATTTTCATGTGTTATAGTCCATGAATTTTGGTGATTCGGAATTCCAACTTTTGTTTTTGTTGAAATTTTTCATGGACGTCTGTTAAGAACTTAGTAATAGATCTAGTTGGTCCAGAGCGGCAAACGAGCACATTTTCAAGTTCAATATATCCCCAAATCATGTAAACCAAGATTTTATCTATTTTCGTGTGCTATAGTACATGAATTTTTGGTGATCAAGAATTCCGACTTATTTTTTATTGAAAATTTTCATGTATGACCCTTAATACCTTAGTAATGGAGAAACTTAGTTACTATGGGCGAATAGGCGCATTTTCTAGTTCAAACGATCCCCAAAGTAGTTAAACCTAGATTTTGCTGATTTTTGTGTGCTATAATTCATGAATTTTTGGTGATCCAAAACTCTGACTTGTTTTTGGCGTAAATTATTCATGAACATCTGTTAAGATCTTAGTAAAGGTCCAGTCCGAGGGGCAAACAGACATATTTTCAAGTTCAAAATAGTCACAAAGTAGGTAAACTCAGATTTTATCAGCTTTCGTGATTAAAGTCCATGAATTCTTGGTGATTCAGACTTTCAACTTGTTTTGACCGAATTTTTTCATGGACATCCATTAAGACCTTAGTAATGGATACAATTGGTCTCGAAGGGCAAAAACGATATTTTCAAGTTCAAATGAGCCCCAAAACAGGTAAACCAAGATTTTATCGATTTTGTGTGCTATAGTCCATGGATTACTCAAGGTAATGGTCATATAGGCCAATCAAGATCATTATAAGTTTGATCAAAGCAGGGGTGTATATGATCGAGTTCGTTCGAGTTTTTTAAATATCAAATCAAACTATTAGTGTCAAATTGTTTAACTTATAAACCAAACTAAACTAGTATAACTTGGATTTTTTGGGGGGTTTTCAATCTCGGGTTTTTCAAATATTAAACCAAGTCATTTGTGTCGAGTTTTAAATTTTTTAATCAAACCAAACTAATAAACCTCAGATTTTTTCGTGTTTTTGAATTTTCCCGATAAAGTATTCATATAAACATATAATTAATTTGTACTCCAAATATTTATTTAGTCAACTAAAATACAATCATCTAAGGTGTTTCTTAAGAAAATAACAAAAAAATATGAGATGAGTGATGACACCAAAATATTCACAAAAAATAGTAATGAAATTGTGTAAAATAAAAATTGCAAATTAATAAGTCATATTAAAATGGTCATAATTTAAAAGTACTAAATTATGATAAAATAAGTTTAATAAGTATTAAGTACATTAGTATTTTAATATAATTTTGTATATAATTAGTATATTTTACGAATATTCGAAAGTCATCCCAAAAGATTTTCTTTCTTAATTGAATATCTTATTAAGTTAGTTTAGTTTAAAGTAATGATTATAGTTTTGAATAAATTGGTTTATAACTAAATGGGAAGAAGATCCAAAATATATCCGAACTTCAATAGAAATTTGTTGCTACGATACCAAACGTTGGAAATGACTTTTTACCCATGCACTACTTAAAAGTCCCACGTGGACATAAAAAATATTGCATAACTATAAATAGTAATATGTCCAGGTGGACACATATATACCTTTAAAATATACTATTAAATAGTTGAGGAGGGTAAAAGCTCCTCCATAAATTTTGGTATCATAACAACAATTTTGATCAACGTTGAAATTTTTTTCACTCTTTTCACTAAGTAAGTTAATTGACTCAATTCAGCTAAGTTTGCAATTTAATTGGGCGTTTCCCTAAATTGCAAAATTAGCCAATTCTTTTTGAGACCATAAACAGGCCATTCACGAGTAGAGCCCAATTCTAACAATCAACAAACACCCACGGACCCAACCTACCATTTTCAGCCC